CTCTTGATTATTAAACAAATTCTCTTTGTCAGCACCTTGGTAAATGTATAGTGAATAGTTTGGAGAATATGGATACTGATGTTGGGGGTAAAGGGTTAAGAAGGTAACTTGTTAAATGGCTGTCAAAGTGAACTGGGTTGAACAGAAAGTGAGTGCATGAGAAGATAATAAACATGGATATTCCACTGATAAAAAAATTAAAGAAGAAAATTAACAATCATATAATCATAGTTCATCTCCTATGCGAACACCATCTATCATCTTCTCCAGGGCTTCTTTCATGCTGTCCACAACTAGGATATAAAATGTGTTCATAGATACAGTAGAAACTGTTAAATATATCAATTCAATTGTGCAATAACACTATTAGTATGAAAAGGAAGGAAGTTTCAATAACTGGAGAGGAAAAAGACGAGTGGGAGAATAGAAAGAGCAAAAGAAGGTAAGCAAGGAGGAGGAACAGCTGAGGAGGAGAGGATGGAATGGAGGGAGGAAGAGGGAAAGTAGGGAAATGGAAGAAGGGGAGAGTGAAGGGGGCAGAAGAGTCTTGGAGAGAGGGATGGAGTAGAGACACAAAAGAAAGGAAAAAAGGAAAGGACTGGAACAGGAGGGAAGGTGAGAGGGGTGGGATGGCGGAAAAGGCAAGAAAATATAAAGGGTGAGATGAAGGGAGTAAGACAGAAAGGATGGGAGCAAAGCAGGAGAGGAAGATAAGGGAGAAGAGGGAAAGGAAAAGGCAAGGGAAGGAAGAAAGGAGAGAAAGGAATGGAGGGAAAGGAAGGTGGAGAAGCTAAATGGAAGTAGGGAGGGAAGGAAGGCCACATGGGAAGAAAGGTAGGCAGAGTGGGAGGTAGAGTAGAAGGGGAGGGAAGGCTGGATGGGAAAGGATGGATGGGGAAGGAGGGAGGTAAGTGGGAAGGGAGAGAGGGAGGTAGAGTAGAAGGGGAGGGAAGGATGGATGGGAAAGGAGGGAGGTAAGTAGGGAGGGAGAGAGGGAGGTAGAGTAGAAGGGGAGGGAAGGATGGATGGGAAAGGAGGGAGGTAAGTAGGGGGGGAGAGAGGGAGGTAGAAATGGTACATTCATTTCACTTACTTCCTGGTGGACTTCCATAGTAGTATTTATATGATGGATTTCCCTTTTTATTGTAAATATCCCGTTGAACATTACCATATGAATCTGAAAGTGAGAAAAAAAAATGGAAACAGATGTGCATTCAAGACCACTCGTTGAAATAAAAATATCAAAATAAGAAGTCAGCAACCAAGAATACAGAATTTAAACCAATCTCAAATTAACCAATATTGTTTAAGTTACTCACCTAGAATAAATATCCTTGGAATGTATGATCCATCAATCTGGAACTTAGTATCTTGAGGCTCCTCATCATCCTGTGGAAACAAATAAAATTCAGCTCTTAAATCTTGAAGCCTACAATACCAAAGCATATCCAAGTTTCCAGAGCAAGAAGTGACAAGGAATATTGCTAGTAAACCCCAGGTTGGGATGCGTCTCCTAAGTGGGAGATGCCATGGGCTAATGGTTCATGCTCTTGAGAGGTCCAGGTTGGCATCTATCCAGGCTGTTGTGTTGTGTTCTTGAGCAAAATACTTTTAATTACATTAACAATGCCTCTCTTCACCCAAGAGTAAATCAACTTGTCAGGGAAGCCTGAAGAAATGCTAGGGGATAACCTTGTAATGGATTGGTGTCCCTTCAGATGGGGGGGGGGGGGGGGGGGGAGGGTATGGAAACCAAGATTAGCTCTGGCAGGATGGACCATTTGGGTTGAGCATAGACTCTTTTTGCCAGGTTGGGACACCATCCATTGCAAGTTACCCACTGGACCATATCTTGACAGATTTTCCCTAACCGTTTACCAGTAGCAATTGTTAATTGGGTGAGAGTCAGGAGTTAAGTATCATGGGTAAGAACACAATATGGTGACCAAGCCAGGGCTGGCACCCAGATCTCTTCACCCAGTGTCTGGAATGTTAACCATGAAGCTGCATGCCAAATCTCACTTATCATCCCAAAGCCATGGAACCAAACATCTAATGTGTTTTTAATGAAAAAGTAAGAGGGCCAGAATGGAAAAAGTTAGGCTTGAGGTCTGTGAGTTTGGACTGAGAGCCAAATGTTTCTCTGTCCATTCTCACCAAACTCAGTTAATAACCATATGACCCCAGGGGAGGCTCATTCATTTTCCTCCTCAGCCATATGGCCCCTTTCTGGCCCTGCTTGTACCATTGAGTATAGTACTCAAACAGGGTCATTCTTTATAATATAATCAATAAAAGCACAGTCAAGTTGCATTGAAAAGGTCATTGAGTTAGGCTTAAATATGTTCTGGTTTTTAACTCACTTTTTCTACATGTTCCTGCTAATTTGCTTATGTACAAGAGATTTAATCAGCCAATGATAACACTTACTGGAAAAATGACAAAAAAAAAATTGAAAAAATGACCATAAAGGAAAAAATTCAAAGAAAAATCTTTGGTGGTAAACGTTAGTACCTCAACATTAATCATCACAAACTTCTTGCTTAATTCATCTATCTCCTTTGATTCAGCAAATTTTGGCTTGAGGGCTGAAAAGGTAGAAAGCAAAATACAGGACTGAATCTGCTAATAAAACAAACTAAAGGAAATATAAATAGTTATACAATCCTCACAATTTTTCTGTTTAATGCTGTAGTTTTGACAACAAAATTGCTGTAAACAACATAAAAATTGCATCTCATGTATGGTAATGCATGTAGTGACAGTACTTCTCAAAAGCCAGTTGATATTGTCTTTACTCAAAGCTTGATATATGATCCTTGATAGTTTTAATAAATTATTGAGAATTGCTGAAGTTACAAAGCTCACATTGCAATTTTCAAGCCTGGAGATTTAAGTTTCAAGAATCGTAAATCAAGTTTTGAGACTCTCAAATAGTTTTTATTTACTCTTCATCATTACCTTCAAAACAAGTGGGGCTCCTCTTGATCAAATATGTAATTATATTTAGTATATACCACACACTCAGGTGAATAATACTTTTTGTGTGCACTGATTGGCTAATTTGGAAGTTAATAGCAAGAGCTATTTACCTCTGAACAGCTGATGAGACAGAATCTCACCTAAAGAGTTTAATTTCAATCCTTTTTCTGGTATATTGAAAGAAATAAACTAATATTTTTGTATTTGTGTGGTATATTCTAACACAATTACTCCTCTCTGTGTTGTTGCAAGTGATGAATATTTAGTGAGCTGTTTAAATATCCAACACTTTTCACCTCTACTTTGGTAAACAATTAAATAAAATAATATATTTTTCATAATGTTGAGTTGATTATGCAGCATTTCACTTAATCAGAATGTGTAACTTCTTTTAGATACTGCTCCAAGTCTTTGTGTGCTTAAGTCTTAAGTAGACAAACAGATTTTACCTTTGCATGCACCACACCAAGACTTGTGAATAATCACCATCACAGGTTTGCGGCTGAAATGTTTAACAATGAAAATGCAAGCTGAACAAATGAATATGTACTACACATATCAATAACACATACAAGATCAGAATAAATTTAATATACAATCCAATTACAATTATAAAATGTTGTCTTTTTTTATACTTGTAATAAAATCCCAGTCATGAAACTACAATTTGTTATTAATCCTTTAACTCCCAAGATCTCATTGCTAATTCTTCCCTCTAGCTGCTATACACTTGCTTGTCGATAAGTTAAAAGAATTTTGTGTTAGATCAGGGTAACAACTTCTACCTGATAAGTTTGAGCAATTTCTCATTGCCTGTTTATTGGATAATGTATGGATGTTATAGAGAGAAGTTACATGTTAATCACTTTTGGGAGGTAAAGGGTTCAGTAATTTTCCCTCTTTTTATTTTTAATAGATTTAGAGAAATTTCAAACAAACCCTTACAGGAGTGTACGCATGCATCTGATAGTATGGCAAACAAGCCTTAACTCAAAGAAAAAACTTAGGAGAATGACAGAGAGCAAGAAAGTAAATCATGATTGCTCAATTTTGTAAAAAAGTCTGTGAACTCTGTGAAATTTAGTGCAACACTGTTACCTCAGAGAAGTTGGCAAAAAGGTTTTTAAACTCAGCATACACTATTTAAATCACAATAGGAAGAATGCTTCACCTTGATTGTGCTTCTTTAAGTCCTTCAGAATATGTCTTCCAGTCTATGTGATCCCCAAAACCTAAAAGGAAAGGCACATTACATTTAAATTGTATAATAAGTCGTTTAAGTCACATGAAGAAGTCACATTAAGTCGTTTAAGTCACATGAAGAAGTCACAATCATCATCTGATTCTACAAGACTTAAAAAAGAGCAGTAACCTCAAATCATAAATAATTATCATTATTTTTCTACTGTTTGGGTGAAAATGAAGAAATAAACTTAGAGATACAAAAAAAAATCTTAGACACTGAAAAAGAAACCTATTTTACTTCACTAAATATGACATGTAGTCAAGAAAACATGAAAAATTAAAAGACATCCAGTCCTCACTGAACCACCTCTCAAAATTTGTTTTTACTTTTTTACTATAAATGATAAAGAGGATAGTATATGGCCATGGGCAGAAGGGAATTTTATCTACAACTTTTATCAGGTGAGTGAGGCAAACAAGGGTGGGATGTTTAATTATGAACAATTTAAGAATATAAACTCATGGCAAGAAGCAGACATGTCCAATAGAGAATTTAATATATAGCTTTTAACCCTTTAACTCCCAAGATCTCTTTAGTAATTATCCTTACTGTCTGCCAAATAATTCTCTTTAAGTTAGTTTGGGGAATTTGGTCTTGGATCAAATAGTAATCTCATAATTTATATTTACTTTATTCTCATCACTTGTCTGCAAGATATTGTATGGATATAGTAAGGAGAAATTCTGTCTTAATCACTCATGGGAGTTAAAGGGTTAATGAGAAATTCACATTAAAGAAAAATTTATGAAATAAAATAAATATAAATAAATGTTAAATAAATGTGTAAATAAAAAGGATTCAGGCAGAAAGTGAGTTAAAGATGATAACATTAGGTTCCAATTGTTAAAATTGAAATAACCTGAACTGAAACATCACTGACCAGAAGGCAAGTAAGGTAAAAACCTTGAACTAACTAAGATCTGTATACAAACAGGCAAATTAATTGAACAGTCGTTGGATTTGCTAGATTATGCAGGTGCCAATAAACTATTATTGACCTGTTACTAAAAAATTTTCTCACGGCAATTCACTCCATCTGTTTTTAAATCGTAATTTCAATCATCGTCAAGTTTGCTAGCTTCTATTGACTCTCAGGAGAACAGGAAGATCTCTCTGGAGAATGGCAGCGACAAATTTAAGTGACGTGGTGAGGAGTTTTCATCAACGAAACACCTATAGCCATCGATTTGGAAGTCACTTGATGAAGTTAAGGCTCTCGATGGATTTGCAAAGAACGTAACTTCGATCATGTGACAAATAGTATTAAGTCTGTAAGTCCTTAACTCTTTAGCTTATAAATATTTAACGTTCAATACGTACTATACAGCTGAGTATTTTTTATGCACTTTGAGATCGTCAACTATAAAAAATTTACTCAATATGAATAATATATTTCCTCCGCAAACGGGTTCTTTCGCCACTTAACATACGAACTACAAAATGTAAAATCTTTACCTCTCCCAAGCATTCCATTGGCAGTGAAAAAGCAAATAAATCCGGAGAACAAGAGAAAAAAGAATGAATGAACGCCTGAAAACGATAAAATCGCAGCCATGACTTGTTCGTGTTGTGAAAAGAAATACTTCTCAAGGAATTGAAGTTGCCCCGGGAACTGGTGCCCAAGCCACCTGTAGCTAATCGAAGAGCGCACAGGGCACCCATCTCGTTTTCAGCGAGCTAGGCTGCCAAAACATAAGAGCTCACTAATCTAGGAAAGCAACGTTTCCCCAATCCTTCATCCAATGAATTGGGGTTAAGAAATACATAACTAGTCCGGGAGAGGTAATTAAAAGGGTAGAGTCTACGAGTTAAAGCAAAAGAAGAGGAAGGAAAACCTGCCATTTAAGTATTTGAAATGGCCCAAAGGGTTCCTTTCGTAAATAATTGCGTTCAGTGGCGAGGTTCATATGACAATGATTAGTGTCAACTGAAAACACCAAGAACTAACTGTGCATCTTTTCCTTAAGTTCTTGCGTCGATGTAAAAGAAAATGGGGAAAAAATTAATGTTAGCCTATGATACAAAAATTTTTGTCAAAAAACTGAAAGAATAATCGTCAGGCTTACCCTCGCTCACAACTGCTTCCCTCTGACGGTCGGATGACGAGAAAAATTTGTTCATAACACGGGTGCTGCTTTTCGATAGAAGAAAAGAAAGGTAAAATTTTCCTGTCCAATATTCGTATTGTTTTAAAATAGTAGGGAGCTGAGGTTACTCATAGCCGACGGAAACCCCGTTGTGTTCGGTAACCCTCCCCCAGGGCGAGTAACGTCGACCCGCCGTAGCAGCGAAGAGTGCTTTAGAGTAGGACTGGTACTAGAATTCGTGTACCCGAGATTACGTGACGACCCCATTCATGTTTAAAACCGCGACAGTCTTGCCGCACAACTTAGAATGCTTGTTTACGTGCGAGACAGCGGTAGAGTAAAATGCGAGCACGTTTGATCGGAAGTCATTTCTATTTCAGTCATCAAATAATCAACGAAAAATATAAATCGTTTAGGAAATCATCCAAAACAGACTTGAAAACCTCACATATGAGCTATATCGTAAATTTGGACGGGGGCGTAGATCTTTGCCACGAAACCCTCTTCGTTTTCCACCGCCCCTGTAAAAGCGCACAGCTTTCGTTAACAGAAACTTTTTCAAGATCTAAGGTTGTTTGGCAATGGAAAATAAACAAATTACAATGACAATTTTTGACTCCATTTATTCCTCTGCTTTCAAATTTCCGACTACAGTCTGTTTTAATATAACACCATCCCTTACCGTGGCAAGTTAAAATGGCTAAAGAACACAATAAATATATTTTCACATTCTCCTTTTCCCTCTTTATCACTAATCAAACAGCTTTATTCAAACTCAACATTTTTCAAAGCCCCTCTAAATCAGCGCATAGCCTTTCAAGGCAATAACTTGTTCGGAAGGCAGCGCTGAACCGATTGTTTGAATCAAAGTCTCCTAATTAAAAACATGTTTCGACATTCTAGACCATCTTCAGGCGCCCATGTTCGTTGTATAGTATAACTTTAACAGTCACAAATTACGCTACAAAATTACGTTAACAATTTGAAGTGTTAAAATACACTAGATGAAAAGTTGCTTATGGTAATTTTAATCTTCTGTTCTCACTTAAGAAACTTTTGCTATTCTCTTTTTCAGTGTATTTTACCGTCTCAAATTGTGGTCATTTTGCAACGCAATTTTAGAATGTTATTTTACAAAGTTAATATAAGACGTGATTACAAATTAATATTCAAACTGTATAGAACACGTTTGCAACTGGAGAAGACATAAGGGTGTCGAAATATGTTTCGTAAATAGATAAAAGTTGTATTTTTTGTTTGAAAACTATTGTTACCGTGCTCTCGCAATAATAAACATAAATCTATTAAATATATCCCGTAGTTTATCGATCTACTATCCTTCCGCCCAGTCCCCGACGGGTACAGGTTCAAAGCGAGGCCCCTCGATCAACATGCCCACAACGCATCATAATTACTTCGTTAGAGTTACTTTTCTTTACTTATAAAGTGTATTCACTGTGACCTTCTTACAACGCACCGTGAGTATGTAAGATACGTAACATTAAATAAATAAAACATCTCATCGATAAAAGAGCTAAGAGTGCGTGGGAACCAAAATTTGCTGATCTGAAGTTGTACTAAGTCAAAACATTTCCTCTGTTCCATGATTGGAAATTTTATCACAATATTATAAAATAGCTGAAATACGAAGGGCGTTCTGATTGGTCAAAAACTTATCGTTTATTGTACCCATAAACCCAAAGAATACCGAATTGTATTTTAAAAAGGCAATAGACCGCACTTTCTTTCGGTTTACCGCCCCCGGCTCTTAGTTTACAAGCTTTTCTTCTATTTTCCCAACAGCCTGCGTCGATTTTACCATCAGTTGACCGAAATTCTACTTTATTAACATACCAATGATCTTGGGTTCCCTATTTTGACCACGAGCAACTATTAGGAGTTCGAGCTTAGAATGTTTCAAATAGCTATTGAAATTATAGTTAGAAAAAACAAACAAGTAAACAAAGCATTAAAAACAAAAGAACATCTTCAATCTGAGAGAAACTTGGAGTATGGAAATTTCCAGGTCGCCTTCATGCGACTTCAATAAGAAATTAGCGCGAATTCTACGTAAGCTTCTCAACTAAAAGACATCAGCCTCGGTCGATATTTTGGACCCAAGAAAGATCGATTTATTGGTCGGTAGTGATCAAAAGTCAGTTGATAACAGCCTCATAGTTCACCCCCACTTGACTGATGGTCTAGCCTACCAGGACATCAAGACATTGGCCGTCTATTGGTCGGGTGATTGTCAACCACCGGTCGACAATCGGCTCGCAGTAAACCGACCTTACATCGCCCATCAGCTGATACAATAACCGACCCTACAACAAGACACATAATCCTTTAAATAAACACAACAAAGAGTATGAAGAAGGCGCTAAACTTGAGTTTGACATGTTCCTATCTTTTAAAAGAACGGTTTGCATGATATCGATATGTCATGTTTCCATTTTTGACAATAGCACATGTTGATGGGCAGAGCAGAATTCAGAACATATAAAAATATATAATTACAACTATCACTACCTTTATAATAACATCCATCGGGCACTACACGGGTTTTGCAGGTGTCAGCTGAGGTGATTTCTTCTCAGGCAAACCGTACAAAAAGGTGGCTGTTAAAACTCCACAGGTACCCAAAAAGAAAAAGCTGAAATACAGAAAAACCAAAAACATATAAATGTTTGATTTTTAGCCAATGGTCCGGTGTTGTGCGTAACGACCTGGGACAGAAGATTTGTAATTTGGTTGGAGTTACAGAAACGGTAACTAGAAAGGTAGACAGACAGAGAGACAGACAAACAGACCGACAGGCAGACAGACCAAGCGACAGGCAGACAGACCAACTGACGGGCAGACAGACTGATCGACAGCCAGACAGAGAGACAAGTAGGCAGACAGACTGACAGGCAGATAGAAAGACTGACTGGCAGGCAGACAGACAGACCGACAAGCAGACAAAGAGACTGACATACAGACAGACAGGCAGGCAGACAGACAGACAAGGATTGTTCAATCAATCGCTACCTTCAGCGCTTTCTTATAATTTGCTATTTTTATATTTTTATATGTGATAAAAAATCGGGCGACATGACTCGGGATTTCGGGCGACTTGACTAAAAGTTCGGACAACACGTCTCCGGTTTTCCAGGAATAATGTTCCATTTCCCTCACGTACTGCTACATTATTTTTGAGAGGAATGAATACATGTTTCATGGGATGAAGAGATGAAGACCACAGAAAATTCGTCTAACAGCATTTGGCCTGGGAGCAAACCCTCATCATTAACCCTTCAGCAAGAGCGTTCTTCGTCCGTGGGAAAGTAGGTGACCTTGAGCAACGAGAGGCCCGCAAGAGGTCTGGCACTGATAATGAGGTCCAGACCCTTAGAAAAACCTCTCACTTACTCGTCTCAAATCTTCCCGCGGGCCGAAAAACGCGCACCCTGCGGCGCTTATAATAAGGGCGTGAACGTAGACTAAACAGAATTGGTCATATCAAGATTTTCATGGATTCTATTTGTTTTGTTAATAAAGAAGCAAAATGTTGTTAATAGTGACGTCATCTGTGCGTCTGTCCTTCAATAGATCACAGGTAAAAACCAATCAAAACGCGAGACAAATTCAACATATAACGTAAAATATAATTTATGAGGGTTAATCTAAGGAATCAACCTTACGACTGAGCATACCTCTTTTACAAGTAGATTAATCCTCTCTTGTATTCATTGATTTTTGTAAGTTTTTTCCCATAAAAGTAGAAAACAGTAAAATAAACACAAAGCGAGATTATTATTTAACATAATAAAGGCACTCACTTTGTTGGCTTGAAGTCATTTAGGAAATAGAACGACACCAGTGACGACACAACTATTGACACGGACGTGGCAAACCCCTTCAATATATTGTCGGCGTACTTCACAACCGCAGCAACTACTAATCCACCAAATGCCTGTAAAATAAAATAAAAATACATCTTGTTTAAGTGAACAGCGAAGAGTCACATGTCGAGTTGCGTGTTTTGGAGGTTTCCTCGTCACAAATGAAAATGTACAGGACTTTGTATTCTTATTTTTGATGTAGCGCTTCGAGTTTTCGGTTTTTCATTGGTGAAGAAAACTCGCGTCACTGTGTCAACTCCAGGTTCTCACTAAGTGTCAGCCGCCGCCTAAAAAGCGCCTAATAATGCGACACAACGTAAGTTGTGAACAGCAACCTGAATGAAAATTAAAACAGGTCAATGCTACAAAACAGTTCACAAACAGACAACTTTCTCGAAAGCCATTTTCGCATTCCACAAGATAGATGCTTTTAAATTTTCTCGCTGGTTGAGCACTCTTCCATTTTCTATCAGGCACGTATTTACTAAGCCTTAACCACCCGCCATATTGCTTCAATTTACTAAGAACCCAGCAACTAATCAGGCATTAAACTAAAACCGATCGCCACTTGTTTCATTAACGTTCCCATGTGCTTTAGACATAACTTCGCTCTTTTACTATTATAGTTTCAATCACCGATCCCTTTTCGTCTACACTGTTTCACCAAATAAATGTTCATTTAATTCATAACTAAAATTTCGGGGTAAAAAGCGTCTTGCAATTCAACCCTCAGAAAGTACACAATAATCTCTCCCGACACTTCCCTATTTGGAAGCCCTTGAAATAGTTTAGCCTCTTTCCCCCCACACACACCCTCGAGTCATACTGGCGCCTGAACGTTACTTTCTTAGCCAACGTACCTGAAGTGAAATAACTATCCATGTGATCATGTTATAACCTTGAAGAAAACCTTGATCTGCCACAGCTTGTCCATCATTTCCATACACTGCTATCAGACCAAATATCACACCAAAAGTTCCTAAAAAATGCAACCAAGGAGAAAATGTCAGTGAGGAAAGATGCATGAATGTGACTGAATCACTCTCATGAAAACTCAAACTTATACACAATGTATGTGATTTTAGATATATGAAATTCATATATTTGCACTGTGGTGAAGAAACGAATTTAAGAGATCCTTGCAGCTAAGAACACTACTGAACTAGTAGTTGAAAATTGGACCTGAAAAAAATTCAGGCCCGTACGGGATTTAAACCCCTGACCTCTGCGATACTGGTGCAGTGTTCTACCAACTGAGTTAACAGGCCAACTGGGAGCTGGTCAATATGCTGGGCCCAAATAAACCATCCAAGTGATGAATAATGATTTTAGATATATGAAATTCATATATTTGCACTGCAGTGAAGAAATGAATTTCAGAGATCCTTGAAGAACTAAGAACCCTACTGAACTAGTAGTTGAAAATAGGACCTGAAAAAAAAATTCAGGCCCGTATGGGATTATTTTCAACTACTAGTACACAATGTATGTATTTACTTAACCCTTAAATTCCCATGAGTGACAAAGACAGAATTTCTCCTTACAATATTAATACAACATCAAGAAGACAAGTGATGAGAATTGAGAAAAATATATCAATTAGGGGATTGCTAGTTGATCTAATACTAAATTATCCAAACTCCTTTATAAGAACTATATGTCAGACAGCAGGTAGAGTCATCAAAGAGATCTTGGGAGTGTAAGGGTTAAAACACTTCAAATTACAAACAAAGAGTCTTGATTCTCCTTAAACTTTCACAATCAAGTCTCAAATACAGAGTCAAGTTAGACTACAATTACAGCTAAAGGGACACAAGTTAAAATCCTCTCTTGCTGGTATATGTTGTAGAAAAAAAAAATTCATAAGAGCTACATATACCTTGCTCAATATAGGATTAATCTAATCCAAGGTTAACCCTCCAGCCCCTACAAATGACTTATCTCTCTTCGTCTTAATTCTCATTACAATATCACCCCTCAATCACACATTAAGGTCCCAAGAATAAAGAAATTGATCACCAACAAAAGAACTTCTCAGTTGTTAAACAAACTCTCCTTGTTGGCATCTTGACTAACTAACATTTAAATACATCAGCCCCCCCCCCCCCCCCCAACAACAAATAGTTTAGATAGCTACTAGCATGTCTGATTGTCTACCTGGTTGCTAAGTGAACTTTAATATATTGCTACTGGCAAGTTGGTAAAACACTGGATGTTACACATATGCACAGTTCATGTGCTGGTCTAGTATCCCATAAAAAAGAGAAACAAAAATCCAAAGTCACTGAATACTCTAGAAACTGGAAGAAGCTCCATTTGCAGCAATACAAGCAACCTTGTTTGTGTGCAAACTTCACCTTACATGTAGACCTGAGTCCAATTGTTCAAAGAGCAGATAATGCTATCCAATGGATAAGTGTTAACAAAACGTACTGCTCTATCCACCAGATAGAGATTTATCCAGTGGATAGCATTGTCCACCCTTCGACCAACCAGGGTCAGTAGAACAAGTTTGGTCTTACCTAACTGAATATTTCTCATCCATATAGATGCTTTAGTTCCTTTTAAAATCTTTTCAAAATAGACCCCAGCAAATCCACTGGAACAGCAGGCTGTGAGAACAGCTATAAGTCCTATAAATTTTCCTGATACTGAAGTATCCTTTGTGGGAGATTCTTCACCTTTATCTGGATGCCACTATTAACAAGAAAAACAAATACACAAAAAGTCAAACAAAGGGATAATTAAGGATTATTAAACTAAGTGGAAGTGGCTTGTGGTGGATACCTACAGAAGACCAAAGCTGTGGGGTAACTATCCATTGCTACTCATTGACACTGAAGTGAATAGTTGCAGTATACACAAAAAAAGGGAAATAACATAGCATGAAAAAGATGATTTTCACTCTTTAATTCCTAGGATGATAACAATTATTCTGGTGCAATTGTTCAAAGGTGAATAGCAAAGAATATTCAGAGTAAGAGTAGCATATTGAAAGGTATATTTAACCCTTTAATGCTCAGATCAAATTTATAATTCTCCTTACTGTCAATCATACAATTCTTATGATATTAGTTCAGAGAACTTAGTATTGGATCAACTAATTATTCCCAAATTGATATTTTTCTTTATTCACATCTCTTTTCTGGTTGATATTGTATTAATATTGTAACAATATTGTAACGATATTGATATTGATATTGTAATGATATTGTAATTATGTCTTGGTCATTCATAGGAGTTAAAGGGTCAATGGCAAGCAAGACCTAAACATTCAGATGAAGTGTTTAAACTGCTATATCAAATTGGTAAAAATCTCTGAGGGTAAGAGCAGAGTGAGTAAAACAACAAAACTAAGGAGGTGATAATCAGAATATTGTGAACTACTGGTTGGTCAAATTAATACCAAATTGATAGAGGTCTTGGATGTGGCCCCAACAGAAGTAGTGTGTTGCATTTCTGGACAAGATTTTTTCCCTCACAACACCTCTCCCCTTTCCAGAGTATGAATCATTATCAGAGAACTGTTGAGGGAAGATGAAAAAAAATGCCTAGGATAGGGGGAGGGGTAATTCCCCCAACTGTCTACCAAATGATTCTCATTATGTTCGTTTGGAGAATTTGGTATGGGATCAATAATTAATTCCATAATGGATATTTCTTTTATTCTCATCACTTGTCTGCATGATATTGTATCGATATAGTAAGGAGAAATTTTGTCTTGGTCACTCTTGGGAGTTAAAAGGTTAAGAGTGAAGCTTAGCCCTGCATGCATGTAATAGGCACACATGGGGCCACGTGGCAATTTCACTCACCACTCTGTACTAAGATATCTGGGATATTGATGATATCACAAAATAAAATCAGTACAAAATAAGCCATGAAAATCTTGTGCCATGAGCATTGATTCTTGAGTATCCCAAAATACAATCTCACCTGAACTAAAGTAACTCCAAGCATAAGGAGGAGAAGGGAAATCCATTTTAAAACACCTAACTTTTTGTGAAGCATGCACACAGAGAATAAAGCTGTAGTTAAAATCTTCAGTTGATATGTAACCTGGAAAGGAAAAGAATGAATAAATATCACTACTATTTTCATTGCAAAGATTCTTTCCATGCTTGAAATAATTCATATCTCAGATGTTAAACAATATAAACAATGTGTATAAAAGGACACAACGTATTTTCGGGAGTAGCCGACTCAGATATTTATCAATCAATTTAATTACAGTTTTTATGTATAAATAAGTCAACGTACACGTACAAATGTGCATCAACTAAACATGGAATAATAATTGCGCTAGCTAAATAAGATCCAGTCAATTTGGAAAGCGTCTCCGAGAGCCAGCCTCCCCATAATCTACCCACCTGATACGTGGCAGCATCCAAATTAGACAGAGCAACAAACAGAAGATTATTTTGAATCGTGTACAACCCTGAGGGTACCGCCAACTTGAGGGTCTCCCATGGCTTGTCATAAATCTCCTCCCGTAACTGTCCAAGAAAAACGGACCATCGGAACTTTGACTGATGAAAAATAACCGCTACACACGCACACACTTTAAAAATTTCAGCGAACACTACGGCAGTAGAAGCAATATACATGGGATCGCCCTCTTGATGAAGCGTTCTCGAGTATCTCATCGTTAGAACTAAAGATGAAGTCTGGAGTACAAGAACACCAAGGCAAACGTGTTTGAGTGAGAGGGACATCCCTGGGAGAACTAGAAAAATTAAATCCAATATTAATTGAGATCCATTTAAATAATGCGAGAAAATGATGGCAAATAAATAACGCAATACAGCACACATGCCGCACAGTAGAGGTTAATTTTAGCGAGCAAAAACTTCAAATCTTCGAACAAAAAGGATAACGAGATATTTGAAGTAGCATTTAAAAGACTTACTATTAAATTTAGTCCCTTTTCATTCCTTGCAATTTCAAAGAATAAAAATTTATAGTCGAAATATACCTTGGAACAACGTCGACGTGTCCGCCATGTTGGGAAAGATGTGACTCTTAGAGCGGTAACCGCTGATCGTTGACATTGAACTCCTGGTTCGTTTCCCAGGTAACAAAAGGCAGCTGAGAAAAATGCGGTTCCGCTTTTGGTGAGATTTAACTTAAGAAACAAACTCTCAGAAAAGACAGGAGTGAAAGAGCAAACATTCTGATCATGTTAATCAGATGTTCTTAAGATGTTATTTTATAAAATGTGAACATATCAACATCAACTATCAACTAACTATTATTGATGTTAAATAAACTTAAGGAAATAATACTGTTTGAAGTAAAGTTTCCTCTGAATACTAGAGGTGTAAGCTACATTATTTTGCTTCACTGTTTTTTTTTCCACCTTTTGACAACTGGATATTATTGCGCAATTTTTCCATTTTGTGGCGGAGGAAAAAAAAAGACGACAAAAAAACAAAGGCGTTTTACGACTAAGCCACCACAGGTATCCCAGTAAAAAAAGGGAAGGCGTTTTATGTTGTCCAATCACAGAGCGAAGTAATGCAAATACTGTAATTCCACCCACTTCATTTTTTACGACTTTTCCATTGCTTTTCACCGGTGTTTGTCGAATCACGATCCTGTACGTTGAGCGTGGAAGGCGCTCAGGTATTTTCTTTCTAGGAATTATCAGTGCTTCAGATTTATACCAGTTGAAAGAACCTTTTCTTAGGGCTTTCTGAAATTCCTGAAACTTCTGGCAGAATGATTCCGAGAAAGCTAAGGTGGATGGTAAGTTTTTTGCAAATTTTAGCTAAAAATAGACAATGCTATGTAGCTTTGTACGTTCTTGATTGGACTTGATACCCAGAAAAGGTTCTTTCAAATCTCTTGAAAGTATTGGATAATCGGTTGAAAATTTTAAGCGATCCCAGAAATGATATCGGTTTTCTAGTTGATATATCCGAACTTGTGCGTACGCGAAAATTGTGATGTTCTTAACACTTCGAAAATTGAGTTAATTGTGGCTCGTGTCACGTTAAAAATAGGTGCTGAATTTCCCAAGAAATCATCGTGCAAATCGATTGAGGGTAATCGGTGTGAGCCTAAAAATGGCAAGCTATTGATTTGATACTATTAAAGAAGAGTTCTCCGCTTGTGCCCACCACTAGTCGGTGGATGTTGTGATCGATAACTCAGAGTGAATGCTGGTAGCCATGCGTATATTTCTAGAATTCCCACAAAAGACCACATTTAAACATAATGTGAGCAATAACCGGCTGGTAACGAATGTCATGCGAATCTAAAATTATTTTGGTTGGTTGGTGGACGAACTTTCTGAGCTTGTGCATTAGTACTTAGACATCTTCAGTTCGAAAGTATCCGTGGAAAGAAGGCCCAAATTTGGATCAAAGTGCCAAAGCTACATGAATTTCGGAATCGCTTCAAATTCTCATCAAACAAGTGATGGTTTCAGGAATTTTGAAAGAACCTTTCCGTGAAAATTAAATTTATTGCTGCATGGACCGCGCCCGTTTGCAGGGTACTTAGATAAATGTGTTAGTTAGAACCTTCATCTATCCAACTCATCAAAGATTCAACCCATCGCTTAACATAGGTTTTGTGAACTTGTCACGAGATCGAATATGATTTTTTTCGTTTACTAAGATCCAAAATTCTTATATCAATAATAATTTGATTGCGATTCTTTCAAGAAGAATCAAGCTTCTCGCGACCAAACTAGTAGAGAATTCTGGTAAGAATGCTTTCCATCTGAATATCTTGAGACGAATCTCTATTTCAGAAACTCTTGCCACTAGGTCGGGAATTCTTTCCTCAAGAACGAGAATACTTTTTATCAAGCAATGATGTATTATAGTTATACTGGAAAGACTGTTTAATTGGAAATGTTATGCAGGGAATTCATAAGAGAAGAAGCAGAAACCTTGTCGAGAATTCTTATAACTACACTTTTATTAAGTAAACTTTCACTGCCAGTAACTTTGATCTATACACCTAAAGAGCTGATGCAGTCTGTTCAGCCTCGCTACCTTACATCAGAGGGGTACTGACATACATGAATGATTCACTAGGAAGACGAAGCGGCGATAATTTTCATCAACATTTCCGTTGAAAATTTGCATCACGATTAGAAACGTAAGTGTTTAAATATGCAGTTCACAGCCAGCTGAATACATTTCCCTTGTTAAGGAATAAACAGTTCTGCTGAGCAACGTTAGGTAGCTTAAACATAAATGCAGCTCATGGAAAATTCATTCGGCCTTCAAAGTATCAGTGATAGACTTTCATCGCATATTGGCAATTTCGATTACTTGGACACTAAAAACCTGTTTCTCGTACCTTTGTTTTGCGCTGCGAAGTTAGGCGTGCAAATTCTTTAAATTTAATGCAAATTTGTGATGCGAGATAAGAATGTAATTAAAAACCTCCGAAGAATATTCCCAGGCTTTTGCCTTTCTTATTCCGCTCGGTGTTTTACTTCAGTATTAACCTGAGATAAGTCGTTGGGTATCATGGTGAACTTAACCTACGTGGCTGACAAGGCTGCTTAAGAAATTTTGTTTTGCTGTGACGTGTTTTTATTCATTGGAAAAATGGCGTAGTCTTAATTTGAAACAAATTAAGAGCAAGTAAAAGTCTCAAGTTCGTTTTAAGTTTAATCTTTAAGATAAACTAGGAATATCCATAAATTTCAACCGAAGAACGGAGTCTACATTTTACCCCTGTTCTGCAGTCTTCGTCTGAATTTTACCCTCGGTCTGCGGTCTACAGTCTGCAGTCTGTGTCTTACGCTGACCAGGTTTGGTACAATTCATTTAGAACTTTAAAATTAAGTTATTGGGAGTCCAAGAGATTGATCTGCCTAAGCAGAGACCTGCTCTTTAAATGGCTAAACTCTGTATCTGACTTTTTAATGCTATGGGTGCTAATATTTACTCTTAACGACATTCATACTGCATACAGAGTGCCCAGCCGAAATTCATCTTCGATTAGCCTGAAACCAATTATTTGCAAATTTGTACGAAGAATCGCTCGAGAAGATGTCATGTCACATTGACGGGAAATTAATCAAGCAAACCCAACAGCCGTTGGTATTAATAATGGTGATCTTTCAAATGCTGATATCTTGGATCACCTAACCCCAAAAGCTCAGGGGCTATTATTTAAAGCCAAAATCTTTAAGAATAGGTGAAGCTATGCTTATTGCTGGGCAAAGACCCAAGGCATCTGCCTCTGGAAAACTGAAAACAGCCGGCCTATCAGGGTGAAGAACCAATACAATACTTGTCACAAAGATAAGTTCTTTCATTCCTTTCTAATGTTTTTGTTGACAGACTCACAAGCTTTCGTGAGGTTGACCTATTTAGTCTTAATGTAAATTCAGGTATCGATCTAGATTGTGACGCTCCAGATCTCACTCATTATTTTTCTCAATTTTCTGTTCTTAAATCAACTATTGAAACCACCAAACCTTGAAGAATGGCAATTCATTTCTCTTTGAAAAAATTTTGATTACGTAACGAATATCGCAATTTTTACTCACCACAAACTTTCAAAATCGTAGCTTTATAAATGGCGATTCGACCCTTGTTTGTACCAGTCAAGATGTCAACTGTCGTCCCTTCTTTTAACTTCACGGCGCCAACGAATTTCTTTTCATTTACAACACTCACGCTGTTCTCGTTTTCCCACTGAACCACAACAAAACTTATCTCTAGAAATGTTATATTAGGCAAAACAGTTGAGAAAAGAAATAACTTTACACACGAGCGATCAACCGATGAAAAGTACATTCAAAGATGAGTGCCAAATAGAGTCTCCTTTATATTAAAGTTCACGCGGCAACCAGGTGGACAATCAGACATGGCTTGATGCTACTCTGGTTTACAGATTTAATGAATGTAACCGAAGAAGTTACAATTCATAGACCCAACGTTTCGACACTCCTGTCTAGTGCCCTCATCAGGGGTGATCTAAACGCTGCAACAAGAGGTCCTTTTATATGATCACTAATTAGCTGCCTTTTTTCTGACAGAAAACAAAGGCGATGGTGGTAACGCCGATTAGTGGTGATAATTTTAGAATTATCCCACCCAATTCTACGGTTAGTTAGGCATGCGCACTCCGATAAAGCTGAATTTTCCTTTATGCAAAAGAAAACCGCTTTTTTATGCTCTTTCAAACGTGTACCAAACTGACGTTTGGTCTGTCCGATGTATTCGTTGTATCGAAAGCAGAGCAAAAAAACTGAAAAATAAAACAGCAAAAAAAATCATGAAAAAAGAAAGATTAACTAGGTGTTTAATTTGTTTGTCTAAGGCATGAAATTTCTACTAAAAATAATGGGAACTGAAAGTCTCTGACAGTGTTTGAGGCAACTGAGCTTGACTGTTCCAAGGTTTTCTAACAAAGGCAACTAGTAATGTAGATTAGGAAAGTAACTTATTTTCATAACTAACAAAGTTCTTTAAGTGTAGGTAACAATGTAATTGTTGTTACACATGTGTAAGTTGTGTACCAAGGAACAGCTGATGAATGTTGGATGATTTTGGCACATCTGTGAACATGAGATATTTGCATCACAATAAAAACTTTTATGATCATGGAATCCAAGAGATACACAGTGGTTGATATGAGATGGTATGTTTTTCTTTTTGTTTTGTAAACAGATGTTTATCATCTTCCTCTCAGTTGTGTTACTAATCACAACAGCGATTCAGTTGCGATTATTTCCTTCACTGCCAACGCTTGAACAAATACAAGTACAAGGTAAGAGTGCAAGGACTCATAGAGCCATACACAAATCATTACTTGAATTTTATTGATAAACCCAAATTTCGATGATATTTTTTTATTATGGTGATGTTGTTCAAAGTTTTTGCTAAAGTTTGAAAATTGAATGTTATTGTGCAGGCTGAATAAAGACTTTAAGAGTTTTACATACACTTTATGATTAACCCTTTAACATTTTATTTCAGATTGCTAATTCTCCCATCTAGCTGGTGCAAATTTTAATTAGTTATAAGAATTTGGTTTTA